TTATGGGTTTGGAATGACATGAGGGTGAGTAATTAATGACAGAATTTTCATTTTTGGGTGAACTATCCCTTTAAAAAGAAATCCGAGAAATCCGAGAGCACTCTGAACCTCCATAGACAGCAAGGGTACTACCACAAGGCCCAGAAACACATTGTTAACATTGTTAAAATAGTCCATGTGACATCAGTGTTTCAACCATAATTTTACGATGCTACGAGAATACTTTTTGTGCGCAAAGAAAACTAAAATAACGATTATTCAACAATTCTTCTCCTTCAGGTCAGCATCCTCAGCCATTATCGAGAGTACCATGATGCATGCGTGTGAAGCTGCTGACATCGAACATGCATGTGCTGCGCCTTGCTTACGAGCATAGGAAAGCGTGCGCATGCGTCCTGATACTCTCATTAATGGTGGAGGACAGTGACTTGGGGGAGAAGAAATTGTTGAATAAAGTCGTTATATTTGTTTTCTTTGCGCACAAAAAGTGTTTGTGTAGCTTCATAAAATTACGGTTGAACCACTGATGTCACATGGACTATTTTAACAATGTCCTTACTCTTATGGGTTTGGAACGACATAAGGGTGAGTAATTAATGACAGAATTTTCATTTTTGGGAGAACTATCCCTTTAATGATCACCTGTCCTCTAAATTGTTGTTCTTGTGCTATTATTTTCTACTTAGCACATTTGGTAACAATCTGTTTGAAGTATGTACAACAGAAACATTGGTGGAAGACAGACAACACTGTATCTTTATTCATGCTGTATTTTGACTTCAACTGTAAAAATGTGTTTTCATCCTTTCACAGACTGTTACCAGTATCCAAGGGCACTTGGATAGCATTGGAGAGTCTCCAGCTGTATCTACTTGTTGGGCTGAAGAGAAGTAGGGTCCAGTCTTGTTTTATTGTAATTGTCCAACATGCTCTACCCTGTAAGGCCTCTAATTCACTGGCCTGTGTTGATGAGCTTTTCAAAGCTCACTTTGTCTTAAGAACTTCATACTGTCAGGAATTGACCATTGTGTATAGCTTTCTGCAAAACACTGCCTATGATATAGATGCTGAAACCATCAAGTGATCATAATCACAAGTGAATTAAATGTAATACTGTTTAAATAGGAGCTTGAAAAATAAAATTGAGATATGAGTATACAGTTTGTTGTTGACTTTATTTTCAGATTGAAAAATAAGTTTTTCATTTATATTTTAGGGCTTTTGAGGATAAAACATGAAGGGTGTAATTTAGAAGATTAACTCTGGATAGAGTTAGTTATTCATTAAAGTTCACTCATAATTGATGATAAACAACTCTGGAGGGGAGGTAAATTGTGGTAGAGTAAATTTGACTTTCCTCTGAACAGAGTTAAAAAGTCGCAGAGTCCATTTCTTTTACCTCTGAACTGAGTAAAATAGAGTCCATTTCTTTTACCTCTGAACTGAGTAAAATAGAGTCCATTTCTTTTACCTCTGAACTGAGTAAAATAGAGTCCATTTCTTTTACCTCTGAACTGAGTAAAATAGTACAAGAGTTAATTTAAAAAAACACTAAATAGAGTCAAATATAACAGGAAAGAGTAAAATATTAACACTAAATTGAGCAAAATGAACTCTGGAAAAACAACTCTATCAAAAGAGTAACTTTTACTCTTTTCAGAGAGGGACCAAATGTTATCTGGCATAGAGTAAAATTTTCTTCAATTTGAGTAAATTTTACTCGGGCAAATTTACTGTGTAGAAAGGCAGCGAGAAAGAGGTCATAAAAGCAGAAAGAAAAGAAAAAGAATAAGATCTTGAGCAGTAGAAAATTCAAAGGCGTTCTTAGAAAGTGTCAGACAGACTACAGATGGGCCATACAAGCAGCGTGAGCAGCAGAAAGAGAGGGTGAAGAGAGGTTGTGAACGGGTTGTGCCCAATTCTGACGTTCATCAGGTGTTTTAGATTCAGGCAGGGCAAGTGTGCGACAATATAAAAATCACAACGCTTCGTTATAATGAATGAAGAAGTGTACACTGCAGGCGAGCGTGTTAATTGTAATGCAGTGTGAGCGTGGACAGTTTCCTTGATTATAATGGGAGCGTACTATGATATGCTTGATATGCTGCGGTGCGTTGTTCACTCGCTGTGCAAACTGGGTGTAAAACACATTTAAATTACATTTAATTGGTAATCAGATTAATTCACAAAAGGTTTCACAATCCATTGAGTCACATTTCTTTTCTAATAATCCTGCAGCAAAACATCAGGAATATGCAAATACTCACTGACTGGTACACAGTGACAAAGCATTTGTGGCGATAAGATAATAGCCAACTTCAAAGGCGGAAAAAAGACAATTTAACACAAAATGGACTGATAAATCTGCTTTCTTGTTTCATTATAATCCTAGATCACCATGATAGGACGATTTGCACGACGATTTGCACGAATTAGGCTATAGTTAATTTGTTTTATATAAATGGTTAAATATATGCAAAATACTAATCACAATTTAGTATGCAAATACTATGAAGATATCAAATATCAAAGTCAAAAGTAAAATTAGTTTTTTTTTTTGTTTTACTTAAAACAGAATGTGCAAAATTAAACCGATAGAGATTTTCAAACTTAAAATACAAAGTTCAAATTCTAAACTCAGACTTTAAAAATCTCCCTTTGACTTACATTAAAGGGGTCATATATAGTGGTCGACCGATATATCGCCAAGGCTGATATATCGGCCGATATTTGGCATTTTTCAAATGTGTTCGAGACTTTTATTTCGATGTGTTCGAGACTTTTATTTTGACGGCGCTGAGAGCGGCAGCGCCTGAGCACACAGTGCTCACATTCTCCCTCTTGTTTACTGTCGTTGTTATCAGTTCTGTCTAATACAGCTAGAAGTCTGTCTAATAATCAGATAGAACGGTTAAACAAAGGAATTAATGTATACAAAAAGTATTATAACGATTGCTTTTATATTATTAGTAATAGAAAGGCAAACATTATAATACTTTCTCGTTTGCCGTCAGCATTAAGCAAATACGCATTTATATAATTTAAACATATTTTGAATGACTAATGAACATTTAATTTCACAAACCTTGCAAACTTAGTCGAATCCAGCTGTGAGATCTTGTGAAGTGTGCATTTTTATCCAGCATGATCGCGTGTTCTCTGTGTGACGGTCGGCCAGGGTTTTCTTCACTTTTGCTAGTTTAACGACAGGAAAAACGCTCTGCGCACCCGGCGCATGGTCTAAAAGGGTTGTCCCTATTCTCTTAATGAGTAATGGGTGTGTTTTGGGCATAACATGCAATAAACCAATCAGAGTCTCATCTCCCATTCCCTTTAAGAACCAGTTGCGCTCGTGCCATGGCGGATTTGCTATTTACAGGGCGGAATTTGCAAGCGCAAAGACAGAAAGACAGATCGCGTCTCCAGAGATGAAACGGAGCTGCTCGTGCGCGAGCAAATAGGTAGCCTAATTCTGATACATGCAATGACTATCCATTATGACATGTAGGCATTTTTATATTTATGTAGCTTACACAATAATAATCTTTTACATTGCAATCCTTTCATTTTTAATATTTGGCATGTTTGTGTGCTGCTGCGCGTCCATGTGTGTGTAATAAGCAGAGTCTACGCGCGCTGTGGCCCCGCCTATACTAATGCGCTCTTTAAACCAATCAGAGTCTCATCTCCCATTCCCTTTAAAAGCCAGTTGCGCTCACGCCATGGCAGATTCGCTATTTACATGGCGGAATTTGCAAGCGGAAAAACTGAACGCTTCTCTAGTGAAGGAACATTTTACATTTTAATCCTTCAATTTTAAATTTTTAAAGATGTTTGTGTGCTGCTGCGCGTCCCTGTGTGTGTAATAAGCAGAGTGTATGCGCGTTATGCACCCACCTATAGGCGCATATTACTAACGCGCTCTTTAAATAACAAAAAATAAATAAATATTGTGTCAGACTTTAGACCAGATTTTTGTTGGTCAATGGCACAGTCTATTTCAGTTGCCTCAAAATAGCAACTCGCCAGCAATGTGCCTGAACACACCTCGTTTTCAGACCAGCACGCCCATGGGCGCACAAATGGGCACAAATGCATTTGCTATTGAAACAACGTGGCACAGGACATGAAAATGACAACTGCGTCCGGCTGAAACTAGCAAAAAACACTTGCGTCGCGCCTGGCGCCGCATTGCACCGAATGTATGATAGGTGTCACGAATCCGGTCCATGAACTTCCGTCTGCTAGCCATCAGAGGTCACCCTTTCCATTTTCATTGACTCTCG